TTTTAAATCAGCTTTGTCTTGCCTAAATACATATTGCAGAGGTGACTGCTTTCTTTGTATTGTATATGCTCAGGAATCCAGTAATTTTTTTTTTTTTTTTTATGTAATCATATATTGTGAAGGTGTTCCTTTGGAATGACATTTGTGTTGTCTGGTATACATTGTCCTGGGTTCTTTTTTTTTTATTATTGTTTTCACATGAATTACAAATAAAGTATGAACGTTGTTTTCCACTATACAGGACCCACAGTTTGAGTAATAAGTGCAAATCTTCCTCCTTCTTCCTATAGGAGATAAAGAGAGACACACCACCTCCACCAGTCCCTGTCTCTGCACCTGTGACTGTTAGTGTACCCACCGTTTCTGTGACCCCACAAGAGCAATCGGTTCCCAAAACAGATGACAAGGTGAATGAGTCAACTCCCACCAAGGTCAGCCAGTATTACCTAAATCAGGTTAAATTGGTGCATTGTCAGCTGGCTATAGTTATTATTTTTACTCTAGTCCTAGAATTAAAAGCTTTTTAGAATAAAGTTTTCGCTTTGACATTAACACCTGTAAGTATGCATTTTTTTGGCTGACATCAGTCTGTTTCAAAAACACTATTGTCTTTGTGATGTCTCAAAGTCTAGATTGGCTCTCTCTATTCAGTTGTTTGGAGACAGAAGATCAGACCCTGTTACCTTCCGTAGCTACACAATGCTATAATTTAGGGCAGAGCAATGCAGATTCAGGCTTTTAGTTGGTTGTCTGCAAATATTGAGCCACAATATCAGAAATTGTCTGAATATTCTATGTATTTCATAATAACTTTAAATTAAATTTTTTTTTTCTCAGGCTTTCCTGGACCTGGAGGAGGATTTGGATAATATGGAGCTGGATGATATCGATACGACAGACATTAATTTGGATGATGAGCTTTCTGACTAAATTCAATGCCCAGAAAATTATTTAAGTGACCAAAACATTTTTTTTCTGCTGGTTTTGGGGCCAGTTAGTAACTAGGCTTCATTCTCTCCTCAATGTTCCAGTATCCAGCTGACGCCTAAACACTGCGACAAATGTTATTGCTGGCGAAGGATAATGGAACCCCTCTTGTACATTTGAGTACTCGCTCCTTTTCATGTATTTTGTTATGTAAGAAATAAAATTCAGATCTCCTTGAAAAACAGGTTATTGCACAAACCTGTTTTCTCCATCTATAAATGATTGTTAAAACATTAATAAAGATTTTAATGTCTTTACACCATATTACCTGTCGTTATACATTTGCATTAAATACATGAAGGGTAGCTAAACCTAGATAAAATATTAGGTACAGACAAGAGGTGCAACATATTAATCAGTCATGTTTCTTTCAGTGGTGATCACTGAATAATTCCAGTTGTGAGGAGAAATGTCCCTCCCGTGGTACAGATTACTAACTTGGCCTAAATAAGGATTTTGTTTTTGTCACTATGTACCGTATTTTTCGCTCCATAAGACGCACTTTTTTTCCCCTCAAAAGTGAGGGGAAATGTCTGTGCGTCTTATGGAGCGAATGTGAAGAATTACTTACCTGTCTTGGAGCGTGGGCCGGCTTCACAGCGCGCTCCGCGGCCAGGAACTTCTATTTCAGGTTCCGGTTTCCGGCGGGACTGAAAGGAAGTGTGCACAGTGTGCACACTTCCTTTCAGTCCCGCCGGAAACCGGAACCTGAAATATTAGTTCCTGGACCGCGGAGCGCGCTGTGAAGCCGGCCCACGCCCAAGACACAGGCAATTATGGGACAAGGGAAGGGAGACACTATGGGGTCAAGGGGAGGGGGACACTATGGGAGAAAGGGAGGAGACACTATGGGACAAAGGGAGGGAGACACTATGGGACAAGGGGAGGGGGAGACACTATGGGACAAGGGGAGGGGGAGACATGGGACAAGGGATGGGGAGACACTGGGACAAGGAGGGGGAGACACTCATGGGACAAGGGGGGGGAGACACCATGGACAAGGGGGGGGGAGACACCATGGGACAAGGAGGGGACACTATGGGACAAGGGAGGGGAGACACTATGGGAGAAAGGGAGGGAGGAGACACTATGGGACAAGGAGAGGGAGACACTATGGGACAAGGGGAGGGGGGGACACTATGGGACAAGGGGAGGGGGGGACACTATGGGACAAGGGGAGGGGGAGACACTATGGGACAAGGGCAGGGGGGGACACTATGGGAGGGAAAGTGCACTATGGGACAATGGGAGGGGGGACACTATGGGATCAGAACACTAATGGACAAGGGGAGGAGGGGTTAAAGAACACTATGGGACAGGGTAGGAGGGGTTAACAATCACTATGGGACAGGGTAGGAGGGGTTAACAATCACTATGGGACAGAGGAAAGGGGGGTTAACAATCACTATGGGACAGAGGAAAGGGGGGTTAAAGATCATTATGGGACAGGGGAGAAAAAAAAATATTCTGAACAAACTGTCCCATGGTAAGAAACACTATGGAACAGTTTGTTCAGAATATTTTTTTTTCTGGGTTTCCTCCTCTAAAAACTAGGTGCGTCTTATGGTGAGGTGCGTCTTATGGAGCGAAAAATACGGTAGTTTGATGGAGCCACATTTGGACCAAGGCATGCTTGGTTTTCTTTTTATCAGCAATCCATTAATGTCACATTTAATTGAAGTCTTACTAGAGAGATACACACCAAGATAATTTGATTGTTGCCATATGGAATCTGTTTTAATGCTGACACTATTACAGCCCTGACGTCCACATGCCTGATGAACACTGCACTATTGGTGATATGGACCAACTTTATGAAACATTAGCATGAGGCTTTAACCACTTAACACATGACATGTGTGACATGTCATGATTCCCTTTTATTCCAGATGTTTGGTCCTAAAGGGGTTAAACCGTAATTATGTTAAATGTTTTTTTTTTCCTCTTTTAAATTCTTTTTTTTGTGCAATGGGGTTAACATACAAGCCTGTGGTGCCATAACAGCATCAACAAGCATATCAAAGCTTATATTGTCATAACATGGTTATATTGCACATTTTTCTTTTTAACCCCTAAAGGACCAAACTTCTGAAATAAAAGGGAATCATGACAGGTCACACATGTCACGTTAAAGGGTAACATTCGTATGGTCCGCCAGAAAAGATTGTGTAATGTCTTTTGTGCTAAACATGTTAGTGAGTAATAAACGATTATAAGCTGTTATTCTTATAGCAGGAGTGGGTTAGCATAATATTGAGATTGTGAACCGTAATAGTTTTATGTGTCATGGCGATGGTGCAGCACGATTGTTAACTTGCAGTTGTGTCTGGTAAATACACTTTTGTTTCTAACGCTGAGTCTCATGTAGGCACTCCAGGCTATACTATTAGCAGTCGCAGTGTGCATATATCGACTTTTCTCTACATTCTCAGAATGAGAATGAAGTGTACTCTAGAACTGTGCAACATGTTAAACTGGCATAATAGGGTGGTACCAGTCTAGCAGGAGAGTGTCCCGTGCAAAAGGAGCTGATTGAGGCCATATCAACAGTGAGAAATTTAATTGAGTTGTAACAATCAGGCCATCAGAAAAATGAGCACCAGCGTTCAACCGATTCCTGTAGCCGTCCACCTCCAAGTGAGCATGCCAAGTTTCTTGGGGAAGGTGTCAAGGCAGATGCTTGGGGTGGCTTCTCTCCTGCCCTGGTCCCTTTTAGTGGCCAACACCACTAAGCCACGGAATCGGGGGGGGGCTATGTGAGTCCAAGTCTTTGTGATGGTCTGGCGGGACTCTGCTTATGTGGACGGTGTTTCCGGGGCAAGCCCTTGGTGGCCCTCAGTCCAGGAAGGCATACAGTGGGTGAGACAGGAGTGTACAAGATGCTGGTGTCTGAAGGGGGCTTTTCCTGCTCTTTCCTCTGATTCCCCTTTGTGGGCCAGGTAAGTGGGGGTTACCATGCGTTCCCTCAGCTTGGCCCAAACCTTTTCAAATATAGCTTCCAGCGAGATCATTGAGCAGCTTAAGTAGCCAAAGGTGTCAGTAAATTGCTGCATCAGGTCCCTGGGATCAGGCGTAGGCGCGTCCGCCATCTTGGCAGTCGCTTTACAAGCTGGTGTTATCCTCTGTACTTTGAAAGACTATGGGTTGCGGGCCAGTGGGGACCGGGATAACTCACACCAGTCCAGGGGGAGGGGTAGGAGTGTGGCAGACTAGATACTTATTCTTTGGAGCAAGGAGAGTGGTTGTCTCTCCTGAGCTCTGTTGCTAGTAGGCCTCAGTTCAGTGTTGCAGGCTCTCTGTTGCGGAGCAGTCCGAGTAAGGTATCTTTCGGCACAGCAAGTTACCCCCAGGGTGGTAAGAGCACAATATCGTGTACAAGCTGATTGCTCTGGGGATCTCCCAGTTTTTGACCGAAAGTGCAGAAGCCTGCTTCCCACGTGTCTGCTCGGCTTTGCGGTCAAGCTCTGCCCCCCAAGTGAAGATATTTAACTTAAATCGCAACCAACATGAAATACAAGAATAAAACCAATATTTTGGAGAGGGTTCTTTCAGTCTGTACATGTGGTTAGTGGAAACTCTTACTAAAAATTACAAGTATTTTAGCTCTGTGTGTATTATAATGCTCCTTTTCAGTATCTTTACTGGCTTACCCTTGCTAATAGGGGTGGACAAGTTTAGTTATAAGCACAATTAATCTGCTGACACCATATGAAAGTGTGAAATTGTCTCCATACATTTTGTGGATGCTTTGCGCTTACACATGATGTCAGCGTTGACACACATTTACCTGACACACTTACCTGCATGGTTTTTGGTCACATGATGTATGCATTTAATATATATTTTTTTATTTTTAAAGGACATACCCGAGCCTGTGGAGACAATTATTACCCCACTTATACATGGACATAAATACACAGGCCTTTATTTTGCTGTACTGTAAGAATTGGGCATTACATATCTGTTCACAACTGACTGACAATTTTTAGCCTTGTGTTGTAGGGCAATGGAATGTTTCTTTGAATTTAAATTTCCTTTGAGTTTAGAAAATTAGTGAACCGAGACAAGAAAAGAACCATATTTTTAGTGTAAACATTTTATTAGAAATGGAAGATATAGATGATAATGTTATTTGATAACAGTCAATTTATAACCAAGGACCACACGTGGGCTTTCCTTACAGATACAGAGGGCATAGGCAATACCAGTCACTGTCAGACTCCAGAATAGGCAGCGTAACTAAACAGTTACACATTCATTGTTGGATGCAAAACAACCCAGTCCAGCCTCTTTGGTGTAAATTCATGACAAGTAAGGTCTGCTTCTCTATGAATACAAATCTTTCAGACAAACATCAGCAGCATTGTCACGATGAAGCCGTGCTGATTTTAGACTCTTGGTATGCCTGTAGAGCCAACTCTATATAGCCTGGCTTCCGAGCCTCCGTTTTCAAAAAGATCTGAAGATAGTTAAAGTACAAACTTTAGTCAAATACAGACAACATACCAGTGGGTGTGCATTAGACTTGTGCAAATATGTCTTGCGTTCATAAACAAATCAAGTCATCCAAATCAAACTTCTTTTAAGCCACATCGGAATTAAGCCATTAATTTATTTTCTGGACAAATCAATTCATTCATGCATGAATTAAAATGATTTTGATTCATACAAACTGAGTAGTTTATGGACAAAACAAATCTTACATCTGTACATGTCTAGTGTGTGACATTTTAGTATGAAAGACTATACCCAATAGAGTGCTTATTATTATTATAAGGCACAATTGTTCAAAATCACAGGCAATAAATTATGTGGATGCAACTAAATATATAAATCATGCAGATATTGTCAACCTCAGAATGGGGTAATTTAAAAAAAAAAAAAAAAACACCTATGATTTTCAGAAAGAAAGTCAGCTCTGTCACATGTTTAAAAACTGGCTTCTGCAAACATGGCAATGGTTTCAGTTTATTAAAATTGCCTTCCCAGTCTCCAGCACTCAGTCCTAGAGGGGTATAATCACTAAATAATTTGTAATCAACTAATATTAGACCTTGTGCAGAAATCCTTTTCAACTACAACAAACACAAATTAAATTCTTGTTAATCTACACCTGAACAAATTGGTCAGTAACATAATTCTGATATGGGTTGGTTTGTAGGGCTGTAAATTAACAGGAAGTGAATAAGATTGTTGCAGGTGAAAAGGATTTGCGCAAAAGTCTTACCAACAATTTAGGTTAAACTAACTGGAGAGAGCCATACCTTCCCATTGCCAGATAGTTTAATGCTTAAGGTAGAAAGGTTTTGGCCATTATTGTACCAGGATATACATTTAAAAGAGGTGTTGACTCCCCATGTTTCTCTTACAGCAAGAAGGGGTTGAAACCTCAGAGATATCCTGGTACCTAGTCATTTGACCACTAATAAAGTGACGAATACATGGCTAAAATCCTCCGCAGTGGGGACTTATCAATGTGGTCGCTGTAAAGCGTGTAAATATATTAAGAAACAATCTAAAACTTTTTCCAATTCAACTAATTCAGAATCCTTTATAACAAAGTCCTTTTTTAATTGCCAGACAGAGGGACTGGTTTATCTTATTACCTGTAGCTGCAATTCAAAATACGTTGGTAAGACTTTTAGACCATTTAAAACCCGTATTTTAGAGCATGTAAACTCTGTAAATCCGACCAGACAAACAGATACACCAATTTTGAGACATCTGAAAGTCCAACATGGCGGTTCGGCGCAGGCTTTAAGATTTAATGGAATTGAAAAAATTAAAATGGGACCAAGAAAAGGAGACATAGACAAAAAACTCTTACGAGAGAGTTATTGGATTTATAAATTGAAGACATTGTCTCCTTTGGGCCTTAATGAAGGTTTCTCATATTCTTTGTTTATTTCTGACTAGTTCACCATCATACTAATTGAGCGCTTGTTTGTATATTTATATAATTTTGTAAATAAATTAAGCACATAGGGGAAGTATTAATTTCTTTATTCCTTAGGGTCCATGTCAATTCATGCCCATTGCTGCCCATTTTAGGGTATATAAAGGTTTTTGATATAGAGGGAAGCTGTTTTAGTGCCCCATTTGATTGCAGGATTGAATGTCGAACGCTTTGTGAATAATAAGTTGGGAATTATTTATGAACTCCGATTAAAACAATATAAGTGTAATTCTATTTATTAGGATTCATATTCTCATAGTATACGGTCACTTTAAATTGACAATATCTGTTGCCGTTTTGTTTCCAGGACATTAGATTGTATTGAGTATTTTTGATCTATAAAAGCCAGAAAGGAGAAAGAAGCTGTCCTTTTGCCTCTTTTAATTTTAGGACTAAATGCTGAACAACATATTAAAATTAAATTGGGAACCATTTATGTTTTTTGTCTTGACTGGGTTTATGTTCCCTTAAGATTGGGGACCGTTTCTTTCTTTTCAGATATATGAGTCAGCTATTTATCACCTCTAGCCATTGAATATTAAGCTAATTTTATATAGGGTATTTTACCCCTCTATAGATGATATGGAGTGTTTACCATCTTTCTTATTGCCCTTATGAATAAGCTTGGACTTGCTAGCCTGACATTATTTTGGGTCTATGTGTATTGTTATTAGGCTGTGAGATTACTAATAAATCGCTCAAGCCATGATAATTTACTATGGATCATAATGCAGGATTGTTTGGCAACTCAGAATTTATGTTATATTAAAAAAGTATTTTTCTGGTAAAAGGTTAATATTATCAACAGCTAATAATGCTATATTTGTTCACGGAAACATAAATGTAATGGAACAATTTATTTTGCATGATTTATAGTGATAGCGATATATATTCACAGTTTACCGTTCATTTCATTCCGTCCGGTTAATATGGAACTATTTACAATCTATGATAATATTATACACTATCATCCATGCTCTTGAAGATAAGTATGGGCAATATGGGATTTTGTCATTATACATTTAATCTTCGAGTTATGTTGATGTGTATCATCATGTATCTGATGATTGTATGTTAGATTGCTACGAAGGCTATAACGTACCTCCCCATGAGGGGTTAATTCTAGACACTAATTAGCATCGAGCTTTTTGCCTAATTAACCCTGTTAATATGCGGGAATACCGGCACCTTTTTGGCGCCAATTAGCAATGAGCTTCTTTGCTTAATCCTGAGCAGATATCCGATTGGACTGCTCGTAAACCTCATTAACATAAGAAAATACCGGCACTTTGGCGCCAATTTTTCTGCCTTCTGATTGGTGCACACATACTTTTGCAGCAAGTGCATGTACTTATAAGAGGGACCCGCCGGTCAGTATGGATTCAGCCCCTGACAAAGGTGCTTCATAAGCACACCGAAACGTGCGTCAGGTTTATTTGGGGGCTATGTGAGTCCAAGTCTTTGTGATGGTCTGGCGGGACTCTGCTTACGTGGACGGTGTTTCCGGGGCAAGCCCTTGGTGGCCCTCAGTCCAGGAAGGCATACAGTGGGTGAGACAGGAGTGTAAAAGATGCTGGTGTCTGAAGGGGGCTTTCCCTGCTCTTTCCTCTGATTCCCCTTTGTGGGCCGGGTAAGTGGGGGTTACCATGCGTTCCCTCAGCTTGGCCCAAACCTTTTCAAATATAGCTTCCAGCGAGATCATTGAGCAGCTTAAGTAGCCAAAGGTGTCAGTAAATTGCTGCATCAGGTCCCTGGGATCAAGCGTAGGCGCGTCCGCCATCTTGGATTTGGCAGTCGCTTTACAAGCTGGTGTTATCCTCTGTACTTTGAAAGACTATGGGTTGCGGGCCAGTGGGGACCGGGATAACTCACACCAGTCCAGGGGGAGGGGTAGGAGTGTGGCAGACTAGATACTTATTCTTTGGAGCAAGGAGAGTGGTTGTCTCTCCTGAGCTCTGTTGCTAGTAGGCCTCAGTTCAGTGTTGCAGGCTCTCTGTTGCGGAGCAGTCCGAGTAAGGTATCTTTCGGCACAGCAAGTTACCCCCAGGGTGGTAAGAGCACAATATCGTGTACAAGCTGATTGCTCTGGGGATCTCCCAGTTTTTGACCGAAAGTGCAGAAGCCTGCTTCCCACGTGTCTGCTCGGCTTTGCGGTCAAGCTCTGCCCCCCAAGTGAAGATATTTAACTTAAATCGCAACCAACATGAAATACAAGAATAAAACCAATATTTTGGAGAGGGTTCTTTCAGTCTGTACATGTGGTTAGTGGAAACTCTTACTAAAAATTACAAGTATTTTAGCTCTGTGTGTATTATAATGCTCCTTTTCAGTATCTTTACTGGCTTACCCTTGCTAATAGGGGTGGACAAGTTTAGTTATAAGCACAATTAATCTGCTGACACCATATGAAAGTGTGAAATTGTCTCCATACATTTTGTGGATGCTTTGCGCTTACACATGATGTCAGCGTTGACACACATTTACCTGACACACTTACCTGCATGGTTTTTGGTCACATGATGTATGCATTTAATATATATTTTTTTATTTTTAAAGGACATACCCGAGCCTGTGGAGACAATTATTACCCCACTTATACATGGACATAAATACACAGGCCTTTATTTTGCTGTACTGTAAGAATTGGGCATTACATATCTGTTCACAACTGACTGACAATTTTTAGCCTTGTGTTGTAGGGCAATGGAATGTTTCTTTGAATTTAAATTTCCTTTGAGTTTAGAAAATTAGTGAACCGAGACAAGAAAAGAACCATATTTTTAGTGTAAACATTTTATTAGAAATGGAAGATATAGATGATAATGTTATTTGATAACAGTCAATTTATAACCAAGGACCACACGTGGGCTTTCCTTACAGATACAGAGGGCATAGGCAATACCAGTCACTGTCAGACTCCAGAATAGGCAGCGTAACTAAACAGTTACACATTCATTGTTGGATGCAAAACAACCCAGTCCAGCCTCTTTGGTGTAAATTCATGACAAGTAAGGTCTGCTTCTCTATGAATACAAATCTTTCAGACAAACATCAGCAGCATTGTCACGATGAAGCCGTGCTGATTTTAGACTCTTGGTATGCCTGTAGAGCCAACTCTATATAGCCTGGCTTCCGAGCCTCCGTTTTCAAAAAGATCTGAAGATAGTTAAAGTACAAACTTTAGTCAAATACAGACAACATACCAGTGGGTGTGCATTAGACTTGTGCAAATATGTCTTGCGTTCATAAACAAATCAAGTCATCCAAATCAAACTTCTTTTAAGCCACATCGGAATTAAGCCATTAATTTATTTTCTGGACAAATCAATTCATTCATGCATGAATTAAAATGATTTTGATTCATACAAACTGAGTAGTTTATGGACAAAACAAATCTTACATCTGTACATGTCTAGTGTGTGACATTTTAGTATGAAAGACTATACCCAATAGAGTGCTTATTATTATTATAAGGCACAATTGTTCAAAATCACAGGCAATAAATTATGTGGATGCAACTAAATATATAAATCATGCAGATATTGTCAACCTCAGAATGGGGTAATTTAAAAAAAAAAAAAAAAACACCTATGATTTTCAGAAAGAAAGTCAGCTCTGTCACATGTTTAAAAACTGGCTTCTGCAAACATGGCAATGGTTTCAGTTTATTAAAATTGCCTTCCCAGTCTCCAGCACTCAGTCCTAGAGGGGTATAATCACTAAATAATTTGTAATCAACTAATATTAGACCTTGTGCAGAAATCCTTTTCAACTACAACAAACACAAATTAAATTCTTGTTAATCTACACCTGAACAAATTGGTCAGTAACATAATTCTGATATGGGTTGGTTTGTAGGGCTGTAAATTAACAGGAAGTGAATAAGATTGTTGCAGGTGAAAAGGATTTGCGCAAAAGTCTTACCAACAATTTAGGTTAAACTAACTGGAGAGAGCCATACCTTCCCATTGCCAGATAGTTTAATGCTTAAGGTAGAAAGGTTTTGGCCATTATTGTACCAGGATATACATTTAAAAGAGGTGTTGACTCCCCATGTTTCTCTTACAGCAAGAAGGGGTTGAAACCTCAGAGATATCCTGGTACCTAGTCATTTGACCACTAATAAAGTGACGAATACATGGCTAAAATCCTCCGCAGTGGGGACTTATCAATGTGGTCGCTGTAAAGCGTGTAAATATATTAAGAAACAATCTAAAACTTTTTCCAATTCAACTAATTCAGAATCCTTTATAACAAAGTCCTTTTTTAATTGCCAGACAGAGGGACTGGTTTATCTTATTACCTGTAGCTGCAATTCAAAATACGTTGGTAAGACTTTTAGACCATTTAAAACCCGTATTTTAGAGCATGTAAACTCTGTAAATCCGACCAGACAAACAGATACACCAATTTTGAGACATCTGAAAGTCCAACATGGCGGTTCGGCGCAGGCTTTAAGATTTAATGGAATTGAAAAAATTAAAATGGGACCAAGAAAAGGAGACATAGACAAAAAACTCTTACGAGAGAGTTATTGGATTTATAAATTGAAGACATTGTCTCCTTTGGGCCTTAATGAAGGTTTCTCATATTCTTTGTTTATTTCTGACTAGTTCACCATCATACTAATTGAGCGCTTGTTTGTATATTTATATAATTTTGTAAATAAATTAAGCACATAGGGGAAGTATTAATTTCTTTATTCCTTAGGGTCCATGTCAATTCATGCCCATTGCTGCCCATTTTAGGGTATATAAAGGTTTTTGATATAGAGGGAAGCTGTTTTAGTGCCCCATTTGATTGCAGGATTGAATGTCGAACGCTTTGTGAATAATAAGTTGGGAATTATTTATGAACTCCGATTAAAACAATATAAGTGTAATTCTATTTATTAGGATTCATATTCTCATAGTATACGGTCACTTTAAATTGACAATATCTGTTGCCGTTTTGTTTCCAGGACATTAGATTGTATTGAGTATTTTTGATCTATAAAAGCCAGAAAGGAGAAAGAAGCTGTCCTTTTGCCTCTTTTAATTTTAGGACTAAATGCTGAACAACATATTAAAATTAAATTGGGAACCATTTATGTTTTTTGTCTTGACTGGGTTTATGTTCCCTTAAGATTGGGGACCGTTTCTTTCTTTTCAGATATATGAGTCAGCTATTTATCACCTCTAGCCATTGAATATTAAGCTAATTTTATATAGGGTATTTTACCCCTCTATAGATGATATGGAGTGTTTACCATCTTTCTTATTGCCCTTATGAATAAGCTTGGACTTGCTAGCCTGACATTATTTTGGGTCTATGTGTATTGTTATTAGGCTGTGAGATTACTAATAAATCGCTCAAGCCATGATAATTTACTATGGATCATAATGCAGGATTGTTTGGCAACTCAGAATTTATGTTATATTAAAAAAGTATTTTTCTGGTAAAAGGTTAATATTATCAACAGCTAATAATGCTATATTTGTTCACGGAAACATAAATGTAATGGAACAATTTATTTTGCATGATTTATAGTGATAGCGATATATATTCACAGTTTACCGTTCATTTCATTCCGTCCGGTTAATATGGAACTATTTACAATCTATGATAATATTATACACTATCATCCATGCTCTTGAAGATAAGTATGGGCAATATGGGATTTTGTCATTATACATTTAATCTTCGAGTTATGTTGATGTGTATCATCATGTATCTGATGATTGTATGTTAGATTGCTACGAAGGCTATAACGTACCTCCCCATGAGGGGTTAATTCTAGACACTAATTAGCATCGAGCTTTTTGCCTAATTAACCCTGTTAATATGCGGGAATACCGGCACCTTTTTGGCGCCAATTAGCAATGAGCTTCTTTGCTTAATCCTGAGCAGATATCCGATTGGACTGCTCGTAAACCTCATTAACATAAGAAAATACCGGCACTTTGGCGCCAATTTTTCTGCCTTCTGATTGGTGCACACATACTTTTGCAGCAAGTGCATGTACTTATAAGAGGGACCCGCCGGTCAGTATGGATTCAGCCCCTGACAAAGGTGCTTCATAAGCACAGTCAAGTATAAGCACACCAAACGCAGGCCAGTTTATGTATTTGGGGGCTATGTGAGTCCAAGTCTTTGTGATGGTGGTTCATGTGGACTCTGCTTACGTGGATCTGTGTTTCCGGCAAGCCCTTGGTGGCCCTCAGTCCAGGGAAGCGCTGCTGGTGGGTGAGACAGGAGGTAAAGATGCTGGAGTTCGAAGGGGGCTTTCCTGCTCTTTCCTCTGATTCCCCTTGGCCGCGGGTAAGGGGTTACCTAAGGCGCTCCTCAGCTTGGCCCAAACTTTTCAAATATAGCTTCCAGCGATCATTACAGCTTAAGTAGCCAGCGTGTCAGTAAATTAAGCTGCATCAGGTCCTGATCAAGCTTAGGCGCCATTCAGCCATCTTGATTTGGGCACGCTTACAAGCTGGTGTTATCCTCGTACTTTGAAAGACTGGCGGGTTGGCGGCCAGTAGACCGGATAACTCACACCAGTCCAGGGAGGGGTAGAGCGCAGACTAGGATACTTATTCTTTGGAGCAAGGAGAGTGGTTGTCTCTCCTGAGCTCTGCTGCAGGCCTAGTTCAGTGTTGCAGGCTCTGTTGCGGAGCAGTCCGGTAGCGTACCTCAGCAAGTTACCTCAGGTGGTGTTGTTAACAATATCGTACAAGCTGGATTGCTCTGGGGATCTCCTGCTTTTGACCGAAAAGTAGCTCGCTTCCACGGTTCGCTCGCTTCATGTCAAGCTCTGCCCCAAGTGAAGATATTTAACTTAAATCGCAGAACCAACATGAAATACAAGAATAAAACCAATATTTTGAGAGGGTTCTTTCAGTCTGTACATGTGGTTAGTGAAACTCTTACTAAAAAATTACAAGTATTTTAGCTCTGTGTGTATTATAATGCTCCTTTTCAGTATCTTTACTGGCTTACCCTTGCTAATAGGGGTGGACAAGTTTAGTTATAAGCACAATTAATCTGCTGACACCATATGAAAGTGTGAAATTGTCTCCATACATTTTGTGGATGCTTTGCGCTTACACATGATGTCAGCGTTGACACACATTTACCTGACACACTTACCTGCATGGTTTTTGGTCACATGATGTATGCATTTAATATATATTTTTTTATTTTTAAAGGACATACCCGAGCCTGTGGAGACAATTATTACCCCACTTATACATGGACATAAATACACAGGCCTTTATTTTGCTGTACTGTAAGAATTGGGCATTACATATCTGTTCACAACTGACTGACAATTTTTAGCCTTGTGTTGTAGGGCAATGGAATGTTTCTTTGAATTTAAATTTCCTTTGAGTTTAGAAAATTAGTGAACCGAGACAAGAAAAGAACCATATTTTTAGTGTAAACATTTTATTAGAAATGGAAGATATAGATGATAATGTTATTTGATAACAGTCAATTTATAACCAAGGACCACACGTGGGCTTTCCTTACAGATACAGAGGGCATAGGCAATACCAGTCACTGTCAGACTCCAGAATAGGCAGCGTAACTAAACAGTTACACATTCATTGTTGGATGCAAAACAACCCAGTCCAGCCTCTTTGGTGTAAATTCATGACAAGTAAGGTCTGCTTCTCTATGAATACAAATCTTTCAGACAAACATCAGCAGCATTGTCACGATGAAGTCGTGCTGATTTTAGACTCTTGGTATGCCTGTAGAGCCAACTCTATATAGCCTGGCTTCCGAGCCTCCGTTTTCAAAAAGATCTGAAGATAGTTAAAGTACAAACTTTAGTCAAATACAGACAACATACCAGTGGGTGTGCATTAGACTTGTGCAAATATGTCTTGCGTTCATAAACAAATCAAGTCATCCAAATCAAACTTCTTTTAAGCCACATCGGAATTAAGCCATTAATTTATTTTCTGGACAAATCAATTCATTCATGCATGAATTAAAATGATTTTGATTCATACAAACTGAGTAGTTTATGGACAAAACAAATCTTACATCTGTACATGTCTAGTGTGTGACATTTTAGTATGAAAGACTATACCCAATAGAGTGCTTATTATTATTATAAGGCACAATTGTTCAAAATCACAGGCAATAAATTATGTGGATGCAACTAAATATATAAATCATGCAGATATTGTCAACCTCAGAATGGGGTAATTTAAAAAAAAAAAAAAAAACACCTATGATTTTCAGAAAGAAAGTCAGCTCTGTCACATGTTTAAAAACTGGCTTCTGCAAACATGGCAATGGTTTCAGTTTATTAAAATTGCCTTCCCAGTCTCCAGCACTCAGTCCTAGAGGGGTATAATCACTAAATAATTTGTAATCAACTAATATTAGACCTTGTGCAGAAATCCTTTTCAACTACAACAAACACAAATTAAATTCTTGTTAATCTACACCTGAACAAATTGGTCAGTAACATAATTCTGATATGGGTTGGTTTGTAGGGCTGTAAATTAACAGGAAGTGAATAAGATTGTTGCAGGTGAAAAGGATTTGCGCAAAAGTCTTACCAACAATTTAGGTTAAACTAACTGGAGAGAGCCATACCTTCCCATTGCCAGATAGTTTAATGCTTAAGGTAGAAAGGTTTTGGCCATTATTGTACCAGGATATACATTTAAAAGAGGTGTTGACTCCCCATGTTTCTCTTACAGCAAGAAGGGGTTGAAACCTCAGAGATATCCTGGTACCTAGTCATTTGACCACTAATAAAGTGACGAATACATGGCTAAAATCCTCCGCAGTGGGGACTTATCAATGTGGTCGCTGTAAAGCGTGTAAATATATTAAGAAACAATCTAAAACTTTTTCCAATTCAACTAATTCAGAATCCTTTATAACAAAGTCCTTTTTTAATTGCCAGACAGAGGGACTGGTTTATCTTATTACCTGTAGCTGCAATTCAAAATACGTTGGTAAGACTTTTAGACCATTTAAAACCCGTATTTTAGAGCATGTAAACTCTGTAAATCCGACCAGACAAACAGATACACCAATTTTGAGACATCTGAAAGTCCAACATGGCGGTTCGGCGCAGGCTTTAAGATTTAATGGAATTGAAAAAATTAAAATGGGACCAAGAAAAGGAGACATAGACAAAAAACTCTTACGAGAGAGTTATTGGATTTATAAATTGAAGACATTGTCTCCTTTGGGCCTTAATGAAGGTTTCTCATATTCTTTGTTTATTTCTGACTAGTTCACCATCATACTAATTGAGCGCTTGTTTGTATATTTATATAATTTTGTAAATAAATTAAGCACATAGGGGAAGTATTAATTTCTTTATTCCTTAGGGTCCATGTCAATTCATGCCCATTGCTGCCCATTTTAGGGTATATAAAGGTTTTTGATATAGAGGGAAGCTGTTTTAGTGCCCCATTTGATTGCAGGATTGAATGTCGAACGGTATGTGAATAATAAGTTGGGAATTATTTATGAACTCCGATTAAAACAATATAAGTGTAATTCTATTTATTAGGATTCATATTCTCATAGTATACGGTCACTTTAAATTGACAATATCTGTTGCCGTTTTGTTTCCAGGACATTAGATTGTATTAAGTATTTTTGATCTATAAAAGCCAGAAAGGAGAAAGAAGCTGTCCTTTTGCCTCTTTTAATTTTAGGACTAAATGCTGAACAACATATTAAAATTAAATTGGGAACCATTTATGTTTTTTGTCTTGACTGGGTTTATGTTCCCTTAAGATTGGGGACCGTTTCTTTCTTTTCAGATATATGAGTCAGCTATTTATCACCTCTAGCCATTGAATATTAAGCTAATTTTATATAGGGTATTTTACCCCTCTATAGATGATATGGAGTGTTTACCATCTTTCTTATTGCCCTTATGAATAAGCTTGGACTTGCTAGCCTGACATTATTTTGGGTCTATGTGTATTGTTATTAGGCTGTGAGATTACTAATAAATCGCTCAAGCCATGATAATTTACTATGGATCATAATGCAGGATTGTTTGGCAACTCAGAATTTATGTTATATTAAAAAAGTATTTTTCTGGTAAAAGGTTAATATTATCAACAGCTAATAATGCTATATTTGTTCACGGAAACATAAATGTAATGGAACAATTTATTTTGCATGATTTATAGTGATAGCGATATATATTCACAGTTTACCGTTCATTTCATTCCGTCCGGTTAATATGGAACTATTTACAATCTATGATAATATTATACACTATCATCCATGCTCTTGAAGATAAGTATGGGCAATATGGGATTTTGTCATTATACATTTAATCTTCGAGTTATGTTGATGTGTATCATCATGTATCTGATGATTGTATGTTAGATTGCTACGAAGGCTATAACGTACCTCCCCATGAGGGGTTAATTCTAGACACTAATTAGCATCGAGCTTTTTGCCTAATTAACCCTGTTAATATGCGGGAATACCGGCACCTTTTTGGCGCCAATTAGCAATGAGCTTCTTTGCTTAATCCTGAGCAGATATCCGATTGGACTGCTCGTAAACCTCATTAACATAAGAAAATACCGGCACTTTGGCGCCAATTTTTCTGCCTTCTGATTGGTGCACACATACTTTTGCAGCAAGTGCATGTACTTATAAGAGGGACCCGCCGGTCAGTATGGATTCAGCCCCTGACAAAGGTGCTTCATAAGCACACCGAAACGTGCGTCAGGTTTATTTGGGGGTGGATGGGGGGGGGAGGAAGGGGGTCTTTTCTCCCCTCATATTTTCACTTTTAGGGCACTGTCACAATGTGCAGGGAACCAACATTCTAAGTATGGTTCTGCACATTTAGCACGGTTTTTCACTTTTCACTTCACCTCTCTTTTTGCTTTATATCTTTGAATATGTGGTATATATTGCTATAGTCACATTTTGGATACATTTTGTCTAGTTAATCATTGTATTTTTCTATTTTTATAGATATACTCCTGTGACATTATATCCACAGGACTATTCTGGAGACATTCTATATACAGTGTTAACTATTTTGATATTGTTTTTTTGAATCACTTAGTATCCAGTGTCTAAGCAGGTAGTAATGTGATGTGATTACTATATTTCACTACATTTTCTACCAGTTGGTGAAGTTTTCCACTGAGGGGATATATATCCCAAAATTATGAATAAGTAGTGGTATAGAATAGTTTATTCATAATTTTTTCCACTTGATATAAGCAAGTCCATTTAATTTCTCTTATCATGTTTATTCAATATTAATCTGCAGTCAAAGATATTGACCCACTAAGGATTATATTAAAGTCTAAACCTGTGAACTGCAGTATTTATTTTAGAGTCATTAGGAAGGGAGGTTGCCATTTGGCATTTAAGTCTTTTTCTGCCTCTGGTAAGTCACTGAAGGGGTTTTGACCCCTTCAGCATCTGGGGATGGGAGGTGGGAGGGAGAAGGGACCTGCAGTGACAGGAAAACTGATTGTTTTCCTGGCACTGGAGAGTCCCTTTAAGCAACGTAAATGTTCTCTGTTTCAACCACACATGGGCCAGAGAGGAATACTATACATGGCAGTTCTACATATAAACAAAAATTAGGTCTTCAATCATTTGAAATAGAGTAGTTGAAAAACAGAACTCACCTGAATTAACATGGCACCCTCAGCTCCCTGTGACTCCTTCGCACACAGTGTGTCTGGATGTAGAATGTTATATAACTGGATTAAGGTGTCTGAATTCTCAATCCTAACAAAAACACACATTGTTAAATGTTACTTGAACTTAAAAGGGACTCCACTGCCCAAATACACTAAAAATAAAAATCACTGTTTGGTATATACTGTACACCCCAAACCAAAACATGCATTTTCTCATTGAGGGTTTATTTAAAAAAAACAGCTTCCAAAATCTGCAGTTTCCAAAATCTTGTCTAAAGCCTTTGCTAGCCCTCCTCCCCCCTAATTAATTCAGACAATACATTAATTACATGCTGTCCAGCAACGTGGCTTACTTATTCTAAGTATTTTTTTTTTTTTTTTTAAATCAAAGAATCACCGCAAGCATATTAGAACTCTTCCAAAACATATCCAATTGTATGCTATTTTATGGAGAGATCATTTTTTTTTTTTTAACTAAGTACTGTTACATGATTCCATTTCCCCCTAACCATACCACAATATGAACTTCTTTTTCTTCCAAGACATTTCTCCCTGTGACTAAATTCTGTACAGAGCAGAGTAAATTATTTTAACTAACATACACAATGGGTTAGTGTTCAAATCAAAAGAAATTGGTCTAGATAAACGTTCTTGTTCTTGGACAGAACATTGGTTAAAAGATAGAGTGTTGCAATTAAAAGAACACTGAGCACCATAACATAATCAAAATTAAGCTCCCGGTGATTCCTTACCGTTAGCAGTTAAACCTAACGCTCAAAAGCTCCCCATTCATAAATAAAAATAAAAAAAATAAAAAAAAAAGGGGGGCATACCTTTTAATGAATGGGAAGCTACTGATTAGCTTAAAGCATCAACTGACCATTCTAAGCTGATTAGTCAGCAGGCCATGCTTCCTGGATCAGAACCAGAGAAAGGGGATGTAGGCAGTTACAGGGAGGAATGGCACTGGAAAGTCAACTTAGGGGGTTAAACTATTTGTCAACAATTTAACCCCTAAAGGTAATGAAGCACCATGTGGCTTCTGGCACCCTAACATCTTCATTGTGATGAAGTTGTTATGGTGTCCAGAGTGTACCTTTAATGTAAACTTTCGAGCTTGAAAAAGGTGGTAAGTAGTGTCCCCCTCAGGGTCTTTTCTGGGACCACTTTTATTCAATTTATTTTGAAATGATTTTGAAATAAGCATTGAATGCCAGGTGTCCGTGTTTGCAGATGACACACAACTAGGTGGTAATACAATGTAAACAGGAGATTACATTGCTGCAGAGGGATTTAGATAGATTAGGGAACTGAAATGGAAGATAAAATTCTAATGTAGATAAATGTGCAAACAACCTACAGCCCATGGTAGCGAGTTAGTGAAAATAGCACATGAGAAGGATTTGGAAATAGTTATAGACTTCAAATTAGACAAAAATGGCAATCAGCAGTTGCTAATGCCAGTAAGGTATAGTCATGCAAAAAAAAATTACATGTGCAGACATTTATAATGGAGGTATATGCGAAGACAAAAAATAATAAAGACAGTATGCCATCGAATGAGCTACTCAAAGGGAATGACTGTCACACACTAATAAGCTGTCCTATATTACTGTATTGGAGTCATGTTTGTTTTTTCCATTTATATTGCAATTGTCAAACATCCTTTGGGCTCAGAATATTGAAAGCAGGACCCAAAACAGGCTATTCAAGCCTATATGCAGCTAGTTATTTTGACTACTTACTCACATAAATTACAGGTTATGCCATCTAAGAATGATCAGTACTCCAATTGCTAAAAAAACATATTGGTAGCACTATCCATAAAAAAAAAAAAAAATACAAATAAATAAATATGACTATAAAATTTGCTTTATGATGTATGTGTTTACAACACATTGGAGATCAGTTGTCTAAAATAATACTGCTAACATCAGCCGTCATGTTTTCTTACCATACTATAATATTGCTACCTTTGTTGTGTCTGTTAGACTATATGTTATTTTAAAAGAATAACAAATGTATATGCATGCTATCCAATGTGTGTGTGACTTGAGCCATAAGCTTTAACACGTTTCCCTGGAATTTAGAACCCAAAAAAGTTTTCATTAATAAGTGAAGAACACACAATTAATCCCTCCACATATTTATGTGTACACAGACATGCAGAGCCACAAATGCCATAACTAGCCACTCACTCACATATTCATAACGTAATCACACACTTGTCAGCAAATTATTCACCCTCTCTTCTTCTTCCTGCTGCTCACCTATCAGCAATGAGTCAAGGCGAGTAAACAGAGACCAGCAACATTGTCCCTGGTGTCTAGCAGGAAGCATGTAATCTCTGATTTCTCAGGTAGCAGCAGGGCTCACCTCACAACCTCCCTCAACATCCAAACTTGGATTACTGTGAAGATATGATCAAAATGTCATCACTCAAAATCCTATAGTCTGCCTTTGTTATTGGTAGCCCAACAGTTATGTCTGCAGTCAGAGTATACATAAATAATGCAGCAATATCAAAACAGTTGTATCAGGAAAATTTCCCTAGGGTGGACACACTGTATTTATATACTCACAAGTCTCTCTGAATCATGTCTATTAGAAGTCCATCTATCTTCTTCAAGCGGCACAGGTACCAAGCCATGCCACCAAAGTGCCTTGTGGAGCGCAGTAGATCATACTTGCCATGCTGATCAATATTTTCATATGTCTGTTGATGAACCTGAAAGAAGAAAGAAAATCACTTTGCTGTAACCTGGATCAAGTTGATTTCTAAACAAGAATGAGGAGGTGAGAACTTACTCTGATGTATTCCGGAGAATCTGGATCAAATTGGACCAGGCAACGGTTTAGAAGCTCTTCATGACGATCCTGCTGGAACATAACCTGTGGTAACAGAAAAAAAAATACAAATAATATTCCATCTAAATTACACAGCATTTGTGTAACAATTACTACCTTATTCCAAATTCATTTTATACCTGCATGTTCTCTTCCTGGAAAACAGGTGGTGGAACCAATTTGCGTCCTTCTTGAGGGAAATAAACTTGGATCATTCTGTCCCTCTCAGCCCATGTAGCTTTCCTTAGTACTCCATTTGGCTCTCGCACAACAATGAACCTCTCCTACAGCCAAGAGGTGATAAATAACCAACTTTTTCCGAAATAACCTACCACGTTAACACGATGCAATTATAGAAGTCTGCTTGACCAGAGTGGACAGTATCCTTGCTGTAAATAACGCTCATTTTGGTTTTGTGGCTACTCACTTAGCTTAAAATGTTACTTCATACACCACAACCACATCAGTGATTTGAAGTGGTCATGGCGCTTGGAGTGTGTATTTGCGGTCTTTCACTGTGGAATGCGACACATACAGGGACTATCCTCTGCTGCCAGAGGTGTCACTTCACCATTAGCGAAGGTCGACCAAGCTGCAGGGGGAACTTGGCCTGAGCACTGAAACAGAGGTAGAGTTGGACCAGCACAGAAGGGTTCTAACCAAAGATCGTGTATTCTTAAAACATTGTTTTTTGGTTGGAGTAACTTTTCTAGGTACATAAAAGGGGGTTTACTTATTGATTATATGAAAAAATTACAACCCTGGCAGTCAGTGTAAAATTAGATATATTTTCTGTGGTTATTTCCATTACACAGTACATAAGTTCACCACTGTAGAACATGGCCACTCACTGATTTTGCAAAGTGGGTTTACTAACACAGTGATAAAAATCTGAAGAGGTTTCAAGTATACAAGTTTTAATTTTGTTAAAGGAACACTATAGCGTAGGATTACAAATGTGCTATAGTGCCCTGTTAAACATTTCAGTCTCATTTAGTCTCCACACTGCCTTCCTGTCTCCTTGCCTGTAATCATCAGGATTGATGATCACAGCCAATCCAATGCTCTACCCAAAAGAAAATAATGTGTGGCAAAACCCCCCTCTCTGCCAATCAGATATTCTCTATGAGACAATCAGATAGAAATAGCTGAATTACTGTGCTATGAGTATGACGGCCACTGGAATCATTTCGACCGTACAATAAAGCATTGCGTTCCTGTAGTATGGTAATATTTTACAGCGCAGGATTAAAACGAGGGGGGACATGGCACCCAAAGCACTTCATTGAGATTTGTAAACTTATATACATAAATTGGAAGAGAATTCATTAGTACTTGTCTCTGTTGTCACTGGCATTAACCTGGGCATATAACTATGGCAATCAATATCAAAAGCAATTTGTACTAATGATGTGTAGGAAGGACAACAGTTGTAGATACTCACGCGGTGAGGAGTACTGTAAGTTATATCAGTGAAAACATATTTAGAAGTTTCTAGGTCGCGAAGAATCTCATCCTCAGCCAAAATATCATTTATTGGCTCTCGCTCACTCATAACTGGTGGCATCTCCAGGTACTCTGCAGCAGCCTTCGCTGCCTTCTGTACAGACTGCACAAAGAGAATAGATTGGATTTAGAGAAAGGAAGAATCGTTCACTAATCTTTACATATCAGTTAGGCTTAGTCATGTTACCTCTTCATATTGTGTTTCTGTTAGTAGTTTGTATGTGGGAGGGTTCAGTTCCTTCTTTACTGGCTTGAAGATCTTCTCCAGATTAAGACTGGTAATCTTCTTCAGGAGATTCTGCACGTCTGGGTCTGAGAAAGCTGGAGACCTGGGAGCTGGAAAAGGATACAGACATTCAAACCAAACCCTCTAAAATATATCCTTCATGTAAAGATATCTAATCTAATTGGGAATGTGCCTTACATGTTAGGGAGTACAAACAAAACAGACAGTGAGCTCTATGTTCTATCTAAGACTTTGATACTATGCTTTGACATAGTGAAAACTGTTCTGGGAATATCTCTATTTTGCAGGTTTGTAAAGTGCACACATCATGAAGGAGCAGGAGTGAATTACCTTGCTAGATACAAAGATTTGATATTCTTGGTCTAAATATTTTCTTTAGAAAAAAAACAAAAAAAAAAACCTTATATTCAAGAATATTAACAAAAATTGTATCTTCAAGTGGAGATCATTTAAAATATATTTTATGGAAGTGGATATCCTGGGGGGTGGATGGGGGAGTGTTCAATGCCAAAATAATGATACATTCGCTGATGAAAAATATATACTGACTGATTCCAAGAATGCACATATAATGAATGACAGTTATGGTAATAATCAGGCTTTTACAATAAACTGAGAAACAGTTATCACTGAAAGCTTGCTTACAGCAAATATGAACAGACAGTCCAGATTCTCAGCATGCCCATACAATGAGAGACAGTCCAGATTCTCAGCATGCCCATACAATGAGAGACAGTCTAGATTCTCAGCATGCCCATACAATGAGAGACAGTCCAGATTCTCAGCATGCCCATACAATGAGAGACAGTCCAGATTCTCAGCATGCCCATACAATGAGAGACAGTCCAGATTCTCAGCATGCCCATACAATGAGAGACAGTCCAGATTCTGAGCATGCCCATACAATGAGAGACAGTCCAGATTCTCAGCATGCCCGTACAATGAGAGACAGCCCTGATTCTCAGCATGCCTGCACAATGAGAGACAGCCCAGATTCTCAGCATGCCGTACAATGAGAGTCTTGATTCTCAGCATGCCCATACAATGAGACAGTGCTGATTCTCAGCATGCCTGTACAATGAGACAGTCCTGATTCTCAGCATGCCCGTACAAAGAGACAGTCCTGATTCTCAGCATGCCCGTACAATGAGACAGTCCTGATTCTCAGCATGCCCGTACAATGAGACAGTCCTGATTCTCAGCATGCCCGTACAATGAGAGACAGCCCTGATTCTCAGCATGCCCGTACAATGAGAGACAGCCCTGATTCTCAGCATGCCCGTACAATGAGAGACAGCCCTGATTCTCAGCATGCCCGTACAATGAGACAGTCCTGATTCTCAGCATGCCCGTACAATGAGAAACAGCCCTGATTCTCAGCATGCCCATACAATGAGAGACAGCCCTGATTCTCAGCATGCCCGTACAATGAGAGACAGCCCTGATTCTCAGCATGCCCGTACAATGAGAGACAGCCCTGATTCTCAGCATGTCCATACAATGAGAGACAGCCCTGATTCTCAACATGTCCACACAATGAGAGACAGCCTTGATTCTTAGCATATAATTTATCCCAGTAATCCCTATATCATATGGAATTTAGAAAAATATGGAATCTTAGGGATAACACTCTTTCTTACCAGTTATCTTGTATATCATATGGAGTATAAGATACTATCACTGTGTGTATCCCAGCAATCCCTGTATCATATGAAGTATACTATAATATTATTACTGTGTGTATCCCAGCAATCCCTGTATCATATGGAGTATAATATAATAATATTACTGTGTGTGTCCCAGCAATCCCTGTATCACATGGGGTATAATATAATATTATTACTGTGTGTATCCCAGCAATCCCTGTATCACATGGGGTATAATATAATATTATTACTGTGTGTATCCCAGCAATCCCTGTATCACATGGGGTATAATATAATATCATTACTGTGTGTATCCCATCAATCCCTGTATCATATGGAGTATAATATAATAATATTACTGTGTGTATCCCAGCAATCCCTGTATCATATGGGGTATAATATAATATTATTACTGTGTGTGTCACATGGAGTATAATATAATATTATTACTGTGTGTATCCCAGCAATCCCTGTATCACATGGGGTATAATATAATATTATTACTGTGTGTATCCCAGCAATCCCTGTATCATATCGGGTATAATATAATATTATTACTGTGTGTGTCCCAGCAATCCCTGTATCATATGGGGTATAATATAATATTATTACTGTGTGTATCCCAGCAATCCCTGTATCACATGGGGTATAATATAATATTACTGTGTGTGTCCCAGCAATCCCTGTATCATATGGAGTATAATATAATATTATTACTGTGTGTGTCCCAGCAATCCCTGTATCATATGGGGTATAATATAATATTATTACTGTGTGTATCCCAGCAATCCCTGTATCACATGGGGTATAATATAATATTATTACTGTGTGTGTCCCAGCAATCCCTGTATCACATGGGGTATAATATAATATTATTACTGTGTGTATCCCAGCAATCCCTGTATCACATGGGGTATAATATAATATTATTACTGTGTGTATCCCAGCAATCCCTGTATCATGGGGTATAATATAATATTATTACTGTGCGTGTCCCAGCAATCTCTGTATCATATGGAGTATAATATAATATTATTACTGTGTGTATCCCAGCAATCCCTGTATCATATGGGGTATAATATAATATTATTACTGTGTGTGTCACATGGAGTATAATATAATATTATTACTGTGTGTATCCCAGCAATCCCTGTATCACATGGGGTATAATATAATATTACTGTGTGTATCCCAGCAATCCCTGTATCACATCGGGTATAATATAATATTATTACTGTGTGTGTCCCAGCAATCCCTGTATCACATGGAGTATAATATAATATTATTACTGTGTGTGTCCCAGCAATCCCTGTATCACATGGAGTATAATATAATATTATTACTGTGTGTGTCCCAGCAATCCCTGTATCACATGGAGTATAATATAATATTATTACTGTGTGTGTCCCAGCAATCCCTGTATCACATGGAGTATAATATAATATTATTACTGTGTGTATCCCAGCAATCCCTGTATCACATGGGGTATAATATAATATTATTACTGTGTGTATCCCAGCAATCCCTGTATCACATGGGGTATAATATAATATCATTACTGTGTGTATCCCATCAATCCCTGTATCATATGGAGTATAATATAATAATATTACTGTGTGTATCCCAGCAATCCCTGTATCATATGGGGTATAATATAATATTATTACTGTGTGTGTCACATGGAGTATAATATAATATTATTACTGTGTGTATCCCAGCAATCCCTGTATCACATGGGGTATAATATAATATTACTGTGTGTATCCCAGCAATCCCTGTATCACATCGGGTATAATATAATATTATTACTGTGTGTGTCCCAGCAATCCCTGTATCACATGGAGTATAATATAATATTATTACTGTGTGTGTCCCAGCAATCCCTGTATCACATGGAGTATAATATAATATTATTACTGTGTGTGTCCCAGCAATCCCTGTATCACATGGAGTATAATATAATATTATTACTGTGTGTGTCCCAGCAATCCCTGTATCATATGGAGTATAATATAATATTATTACTGTGCGTATCCCAGCAATCCCTGTATCATATGGGGTATAATATAATATCATTACTGTGTGTATCCCAGCAATCCCTGTATCACATGGGGTATAATATAATATTATTACTGTGTGTGTCACATGGGGTATAATATTATTACTGTATTATATGGGGTATAATATAATATTATTACTGTATTATATGGGGTATAATTTAATATTATTACTGTATTATATGGGGTATAATTTAATATTATTACTGTATTATATGGGGTATAATATAATATTATTACTGTGTGTGTCCCAAAGTGAGTTTACCGTCGCTGTTACTGATAGATATAGAGAATAATGAATGTATGATGTTGCATGGTTACAAGCTCTCACCTCCAGCACACAGCGTTCTGCTCCCGGTCACTATCTCTGACCTGAGCCTCCTCACCAAACATCCCATGCGGGCGGCCATGTCTGCTATCACCTCTACTCGCGCGACTTCCGGCCTGATGGTGCAGAGCATGCCGGGAGGTGTAGTTTCTGGGCAGTACTTGTTACAGCCATGCTGGGGTAGTGCACTGCAGCTGTATACACACATTTGAAACATTTGGGTATTGAAAGGGTTAAGATCTTATCACCAACCTATCAAATAATGTGTTGTATTTTTTTTTTGTACGTTTCTGTTTTTCCCGTTGACAGACTGTGTGTATCTCTTTGCTATTGTTACAGTACCAGAATTTGATTTCTGCGTGTGTGTGTCAGTGAGTGCTTGACTGCCAGTGTATGTCTGTCAGTGAGTGTGTGAGTGTTTGACTGTGTGTCTGTCAGTGAGTAAGTGAATGTATGTCAGTGAATGTGTGTGTGTGTCTGTCAGTGAATGTCTGCCTGTGTGTCTGTCTGTCAGTGAGTGTCTGCCTGTGTGAGTGTGTCTGTCTCTCAGTGAGCAAGTGTATGTATCTCAGTGATTGTATGTCAGTGAGTGTGTGTGTCTGTCAGTGAGTGTCTGCCTGTGTGTGTGTCTGTCTGTCAGTGACTGAGTGTATGTATGTCAGTGAGTGTCTGCCTGTGTGTGTCTCTGTCAATGAGTGAGTATCTGTATGTCAGTGAGTGTCTGTCTGTGTGTGTGTGTCTGTCAGTGAGTGAGTGTACATCTGTGTGTGTGTGTGTGTGTGTGTGTGTGTGTGTGTGTGTGTCAGTGAGTGTGTGTGTCTATCAGTGAGTGAGTGACATGAAGGGGCAGCAAAATGGATCTTTGCCTAGGGTGGCAAAAATCCTTGCACCGGCCCTGGATTTGGATAAATATAGGAACTGGGCAGGCAAGTGGCTGATAACAAAAGTCATGTGCTTTAGAAGAAGGTGTAAATTTACCGAATTTCAATCAGTTGTTAATCTCTATGGAAATGAATAAATTCTATTTGTAAAACAGGATTAATGTACAGGTTTTATGGTGTTTTGGAAATTTATATGGTCAATATAGCACTTGCCCATTTCAGTTTGCCTCATTGGTTTGCAGTGTCTATGTTGCCTTTGAAACCAAATGGCAGCCCAGAAATGAGAATTATTTTTTTTTTGCTTTTTTCACACAAAAACTGCACTTTTACTGATGATATAATCGTAATTATACATGTTACGGTTTTAAAACACTCTATTTGTACTCAGCAAAGTCTCACAAGTACAACAGTACCCTCCATGTACAGGTTTCATGGTGTTTTGGGACTACTTACTCCTGGGACACTCTGCAGAGATTAAATAGGTTAAATAGGGCCCTCTTACACACAACAGACTCCGTGGCCCATGATTAATGATCTCAGCCATGGAAAGACTAGTACAGCAATGGAGAAAAGGTAAGTAAACTACCTTTTCACTGCAATATAGGTGAGGGTGAGCTAAACAACCACTCCATCACCATAATGTGAGCTATACATGTTTGTATTCCTAACACTATAGTGTTCCTTTAAATCCACTTACAGGTGAAGTGAATAACATTGATTATATAGTTCCAATGATAACTGTCAAGCGGTGGGGATATATTAGACAGCAAGGGAATAGTCAGTTCTTTTCAAATATTGTTTATTGAAGTTTTAAAAGCTTACAACAAAAATAATGAAACATACTTTTCAGGGGAGGGAGGAAAAAGGAAACTTGAAAAAAAAAAAGGAAGATGTTTTCCATCCATAATGAAGAAATGAACATAATATTACATTCAGTGGCAGGGCTGCCAACAGAAAGTTTGGGGCCCCTGACAAAGCACAAGGTCTGGGCCCCCCAGGCCCACCTACGCCCTACCTGGCCCCCTGGCAATGATTCAGGACTGAAAGTGGTGTGTAAAGTGGAAGTGAATTCGAATATGTGTAATGGATGTAGTGTTTGTGTGTATTAGATACTGTTTGTGCAGTGAATGCAAAGTGTGTGTTTGTGTAGCGGATGCAGTGTGTATAGTGAACGCAGAGTGTGTTTGAGTAGTGGATGTGGTGTGTGTACAGTGATGTAGTGTGTGTTTGAGTAGTGGATGTAGTGTGTGTACAGTGATGTAGTGTGTGTTTGTGTAGTGGATGTAGTGTTTGTATGAACTAGATGAAATGTGTTTAGTGGATGCAGTGTCTGTAGTGGAGGTAGTGTGTGTATTAGACGCAGTGTCTGTGTATAGTGAATGCAGAGTGTTTCAATGTGTGGCTGATGTAGTGTGTGTACTGTGAATACAGGATGTTTGTGTAGTGGATGCTGTGTGTACAGTTAATGCAGAGTGTATGTTGGTGTAGTGAATGCAGAGTGTGTCTCAGTATAGTGAATCCAGAGTGTGTGCATTGTTTAGTGAATGCAAAGTGTGTGTTAGTGTGTAATGAATGCAGAGTGTGTGTCAGTGTAATGAATGTAGTGTGTGTTAGTGCAGTAAATGCAGAGTGTGTGTTGTGTTAGTGTACGCAGAGTGTGTGTTGTGTTAGTGTATGCAGAGTGTGTGTTGTGTTAGTGTATGCAGTGTGTGTGTTGTGTTAGTGTATGCAGTGTGTGTGTGTAAGTGTGCAATCTGGGGGGGAGGGGAAGGAAGGGGCATTTTCACATTAATTTTTTATTAAATTAAATTAAATGTTTCTCCCCCCTCCCTTACCTGTGTCCAGGGAGGGGGGAGATTCCATCCCTGGTGGTCGGGTGGCATGGGGGGCCCCCGGCTCACTGTTACCACAGAGGGGGCCCAGGCAGCACACAGCTTCTACTCTTCTCTCCTCTCTTCTAATAACTCTCGCGAGACCTGCGGAGCGTTGCCATGGTAACCGGGTCTCGCAAGAGTTATTAGAAGAGAGAAGAGAAGAGGAGAAACAGTGTGCTGCCTGGGCCCCCTCTGCGGTAACAGGGAGCCGGGGGCCCACGACTGCGCACATAGATAGCAATATTCGCTATCTATGTGTGCAGAGAAAGAAAGTGGGGCCTGGGACTGCCACAGCAGTGTGGGCCCCCCAGGGCCGCCGGGCCCGTGACAACCATCATGGTTGTCACCCCCTGATGGCGTACACATAATCCATGGGGCCCCGGTGCGAAACGGATCCATAGGCCCCCCACCAATTATCCCCCCTCCCTTTTACCGTCCACTTCCTCTCCCCCCGACAGAAACACACACATACAGAGACACATACACACACACACACACATACATAGAGAGACACACACACAGACAGATACATACAGAAACATACATACACACAAGACACATACATACAGACCGACACACACAGACAAACACACATACACACAGATAGACACACACATACAAAGACACATGCATACAGAGAGGCACACATACATACACACACAGACACATACATACAAGACACAAGACACACATACAAATACATACATACTGTGACGAAGTGCCCTTCGTCACTTGTGCCTGGAGGGGACTACTGGCTAGCCTCCTGCCTTCCGACTATGGCCCCTGTGCTGATAGCTGTATTTAACCCTGCAGAAAGGTTTATTTGTGTATTTCTGCTGGGGCATTTGGGACTTTTAGTATGTGAGTAGTGCTACCTCAGATAGCTATGCCATGGAGCCTACTCGTGTAATGAAAGACTATGGAAAAGACTTTGGCTCCATGGCGATTGAACTGTATGTATGTGATCTGAGCGCCATTCAGTAATAATGTGCGCTCAGATCTAAGCTATCTGGGGATATGTTGCATGTATATGTTTTATGTAGTAATTGTAACATTGTGTAATTTTATGTCTTTTTGTAACCATGTGGTTAATGGAGTCTTACCTCTGTCCTGGGAGATAATTTGATTACTTCCCAATTATCTCCGGGATAGAGAGGAGGGATTGTGAGTGGGAGTGTTTTGTTTGGCTAATATCCAATATGTGTCCCATTGTTCCATCAGGTCCCCTAGGGGAGTGACCACCTGGTGGACACTTGCATAAATACCGGGCAGGTAGCCCTCAATAAAGCAGACCTACTTGCACCTTTCTTGAAGCCTTGGCTCATGCTTGGGGGAAGGGATACCTACACTCTGGGGATTGCTATAATCACTTACTCCCCAGGGTAAGCTCGTGTTAGAGCCTGATTTGTTCCTGCTACGCTCTCTGGATTTAGGAGAGGTTCACCCACCTGGATCTGGATCCTGGTCGTGGATCCAGGGTGGGTGAGAGACGGCGAGACCCCGGCGCAGCTGCATCGCTGGAAGTGGGGTCCGCAGTGCTGATGGTGTCGGTTGGAGTGCTTGGAGTCCTCGGCAAGCGCTAGGAGCGTCGATTGGTGGAGGTACTCAGTCGGACTGCCAGCAGTCCGTCACACATACATACCAACAGACAGGCACACATACATAAAGACACACACACACATACATACAAACACACATATACAAAATGTTTAAGTCACCCTCCTGTTTCCTACTTCGAGCGGGGGAGGGTGGTCATGAGTGGCCGGGCTGGGGGTCGGTAGTCTGTCTTCCTCTGCAGTCTGAGGTTTGGGTCGCGGGTTCTATACGTCTGCATTTTGGTGGCTATCTAATCAGAGCCTTTATTGGAATCCTTCTTTTGCTGTCTCAAGGATCCAGTGCGTCCATATGTCTATGTATGTCGTGGAGGTGTTATTGGCTGTCATAGTCAGTTCCTCTATTGATCTGAGTTCCTCCATTTGGCTAAACCAGGTTGTGAGCGGGGGTCAGGGGAGGGCTGGCAGCCTTAGGCCTGGGGGGCAAAACCAGTCAAGTGGCCCATTGCACCACCAAATCAGTTCACCATCCATGCCCACCTTTTCCTGGTTTTATAACGGATATTGATGTTATGCTAATCAGTAGCTCTTTGCCATACCCGCTCCTTCACGGCTCCAGGCACTGCTTGTTGTGAGTGTGAGCCACTGTAAATTAGGGGCAGAGGGCACTTGCACTGCGGTAAAGATGGGGCTGGACAGGAGGAGAGTGCAGTGCAATCAGTGCACTCCCCTCCTGTGGGTCACCAGTAGACTGGTGCACCTGCCCAGGATCAGTGCCGGTGCAAGGATTTTTGCCGCCCTAGACAAAATAAAAATTTGCTGCCCCCCCATGTGACATCACAATGCCCCACCCATATGAACTAA